AAAGAAAGAGCACCCAAAGATTTAGATGAGTTGGCAGTAATAGCAAAGCAGTACCTAGTGGCACATGGTCGACAGTTATCCACAAAGGACCAGGTGAGGCGTAACGATAATAAGACTGCCATTAGAAATACTGATGTGGGACAGGGTAGTAGTATCCGGTGTTATGTATGTCAAGGTGTTGGTCATCGAGCAGCACAATGTCCATCCCGCGTTATCGATGTCAACCATGACAAAGGTGAACAGTGCCTTCAGTGTGGTGCCATAGGACATGTGGCTAAGTTCTGCCGTAGTGGACAACACAGGGATCAAGAAAGAAAGAGTGTCAAACCCAGCACTACTACTGGTGCAGCTGCAGTGGTTAAAGAGCAGTCTAATATCAGTGCTATCTGTGCAGTTCAAATTAACAGTGATGTGCCTAAAATGATTGAGAAGGACCATTTGTTGTTGGCATCGGGGGAGCAGTTAAAGGTTGTGAATGGTGCATGTATGGATCAAAGTGGTGTTGTGGAGGACAGGACTTTGCCTGTGGGTCAAGGGAAGGTTGGTGACACAGCTGTGACCATGTTATATACAAAAAAGATGGGTCATATATTGATGGTTGAACGTACTGTAAGAAGGGTTCCAGTCGCCATGGTGGAAATTTATACGCCAAATTTGAGAGGCACGGTTGAAGCATTATGTGTGCAGGACCCAATCTATGAGTTAATTGTTGGGAATGTGCCCGGAGCAAGACCACCAGATGACCCGGATCCAGTGTGGAATGTGAGTGGAGCAGTAACAACCAGAGCGCAAGCGAAGAAATCTGGTAAGGTGAAGCCGCTCAAAGTGTGTGATGTAAAGACTAGAGCACATGTAACAAAAGACAAATTAATCGAGATGCAGCAAGCAGACACATCGTTGAAGAAGTATTATAATAAGAGAGAACCAGAAGTGAGAGGGCACCATACAACCGAGTTCCAGGTATATGGAGGCTTGCTATATCGTGTGTATCGGGATCGTTCAGTTCCAGGTGGCAAGACGGTACATCAAATGGTTGTGCCGAAACTGTTGAGGACTCGTGTTATGGAGATTGCCCATGATTCAATATTTGGTGGACACATAGCTTTTATTGGCCTGGGCTACATCAAGATGTTTCCAGTTTTTGTAGGTCGTGTGATGTGTGCCAGAAGACTGTTTCAAAGGGATCAGTTGTGAAGGCCCCATTAGGTAAGATGCCTTTAATTGATATGCCATTCAAGCGTGTGGCTATAGATTTGGTTGGACCAATTACACCAGCCAGTGATGGTTGTCATCGATACATCTTAACTATGGTGGACTATGCTACACGGTATCCAGAGGCGGTTCCACTTAAAAATATAGATACAGAGACTGTAGCCAAGGCGTTGATTGACTTTTATAGCCGATTGGGGGTTCCAGAAGAAGTACTAAGTGACATGAGGACTCAGAATGTCAGAATGCATGCAAGAAGTATCAAGATTGCTCAGCATTAAGAG